TTTTTTCTTTGTCATGCCCTGGCAATAATCGGTTACAAGCGGCTTTTCTCTTCACTACTCAGCTTCATCGCATAGGATTTTATCTTTATTATATCACTACTCAACCCGGCGCATCTTTTCACATACTGGGTACATCTGTGCGATCGTTTATAGTTTAGTTAATGAGACAGGTGGTGATATGAATGAGTTACAGTCATCCGTGACCGCACAAGCGATGATAACTCTGTACCCGGTGCTCCATGGAGTATCAGATAGAGGTCGGTAAAATATTCTACCCACTGTTGTCTTATTACTAAATGTCGAATAAGAGAAAATGTTCAGTGACACCGAGGATGCCACTTTGCAGTATATTTCCCGTCTGTGTGGTGCCGCGAAAAATTGTGTAAACGAGCTACCTACCATAAAGGTGGAAAGCAGCGACATTTTTTCTACTCTGAACTGCGCTGGACGGTTGTGTAGACATTTCACATTATTACTCAACTTCTCTGTAGTCACTGGTGTCTTCCGGATTATATTCATTCCGCTCTGTAGAAAATAGTGAATATTTTTCACAGGTAAACCTGCTGGTTTTTACTTTAGAGAATTAGGACGGTTCATTTGTTTGAACGATTACCGAAAACTCAAACTTGATGCGTTCAATCAAACCCAATCTGATTTGTCATTTTTCGTTTAGCCAATCTTGCGGGGATTAATAACTGTGAGTTGTTTTTAACGAACAGCGAAAGGTAGAAACAGAGCGGTAGGCTTTCCGCACCAGATACACAGACGATTAAGGAAGTGTTTGAATTGACCTGTGAGTTGTGAACATCCATTGCCATCTGACATGGTTTAATCGAATACAAGGGCACGTCAATGGCAGCCGGATATTTTTCTCAACAGTGTGCTTCCAGCCTGGTGAATAACCGGGTACGGCACGAACAGATCATTAGGTATTGTGTCACATCAGTTAGAACAGAGTGGAAGCTTTGCTGTTATCATGGCCATATGAGTGATCGCCCTGTGTGACACCTTTTACATTCTCCCCAATTCCTGATTTCCTGTTATTTTCTCACATTTTCACACTTGTTTCATTCATTCATGCCTAACATTTCTCTTGTCGTGCCCACTTCACACACGTTACCTGGCTTTGAACAATGGAGCTCGATTGGTTGGATTCATTTGAAGTTACAGCGGATTCACTTGAAGTTGAAAAGGTTTAATGTCACCAGATAGGTTGCCACGGCGAGCGATGTTCGCCGAGGGAGGCAGTGGGTGGAAAAAACCAAGCGTGGTCAAGCTAAAACCTGGCATGAGGTTATGAAAACCCTTACCAGGAGTCTGGGTCACATAGGTTCTGTTAGGCTCCATGGACGGTGACCTCGGGATGATCGTACCCGATAGTTAGAGACACAGTGATACGGCTGAGTGTCGTAAACAGTGACGTTCATAAATCTTGTCGATTTCTCTGCAACATTAATTCACTGAAATGTTAAATTTTCTACTTGGTCCTACGTTTTTTGTCTTTCTCATCATGTTAATTCAAATGGAAAACCAAAGAAGAGCAACCAAAACCGGCGCACGAAAGTGCATGGTTAATGGTTGTACAAAATGAGCTGAGCTGAGTGTCTAATGTTGTTCAATGACAGTATCTAGTGAACGTAGACAACTAGCATCGACATGAGGCAAGTTGTTGTGAGCATGACCGAGTAACCCCATTGGTTAGCGCATTGAATTAACATCCATTCGTGATAACGATTAAACTGTAAGCTAAGGTAGAGAATTGAACAAATTGTGATCAGTTGACCGGATCGCGCAGTTCAGATCAATCTACGCAGTTCGAGTCCTCGGGATAAGCAGTACTATACTTACTCACTTTGATAAGGACATCTATTTGTCTTCGTGTTCAGCGTTGATTCCAATTTACGCTCCAACTACATTTCGTTTATTTACAAGTCGAGTTATCAAAAAACATCAATAAACGCAGACAGCTAAATGTCGGTCCACCAGGTATTATAGTTTCGATCAGAATTGAAGAGAGTGCTTTTCATGATTTCATAAATTTCATAAATTAGTGCTTATTCTTTTGTGGATGATGTTAACGATGTTGAACAACCTTCAGAATCCTACTCGGTCATCTGATGCATATTTTTTTGGTAAAATGCACATGGCCACGATGACTAACCATAAACGATGGAGTGACATAAAGCCGGTTATCAAATGAGTGTCAAATCGTTTGTGTATTTGATTCATTCGACAGTACAAATTACATTTGCAGAATGATTTAAACTCTCATACGCCCCTTACTGTATTATCCATCATATCCATACACACACACAACCACATACGTTATCTACGCTTTTTCTGTTTCCTTCAATTATGTGATTTTGTGACCTATAAAAGAGTACTATATTTGGCTAGTAAATGGGGCACCGAAAACGAGTTTGTCTGCCAAATTAACTTCTTGATGCAATTCACAGGTATTTTCTAGTAAAATTTACATTGTTCAAACCAACAATTGTGTTGAATAGAACACATAAAAGAGAACCATTTGACAACAGTTGTGTATAGACCTTGAGCTTGATGGGAAAAAATCATTTCGGAGAGAGCGACTTGCCTCGAGCAAATTGTCTTCTAGTTGAGCCAATTCCAACTTCATGCCATCTTCGGCTCGCACCAATTGTTGTCTTCGTTGTTCCAACTCCGGTCTCTCTTTCTGTAAACTGGCAGCAAGCAACTGACCGACCAGACCAGCTCGAGTGATCACAAAATTCACAACTGTCAACAACGAGGCTGCACACGCTGGCCGAACAGCTCCAATCGTGCTGGGCATTTGACGCGTGCATAGGTACAGACGAAATTCGGGGTGATAATCAACTGTCTTATCACCCAATGTGACAGTCGATCGGGAACCTGATGAAAAGGAAGAATATAAAACATTTGGATTGAAACATTATTGATCTTGTCGAATGTCTTTTTCAATTATGGCTGTATTAATCAGGTGTGCAGTGATGTGGATGTATCTTGCTTCCCATGATCAAATTAATCGCTTTGGATTGTTCAGTATATTTTCATTTCTTTTTGTTTTTTTCATTTTTACTTCCTTTTATTAAATACACAATGATACAGATTTCAGGAAGGGGAAGCGGCCAATCAAAGGGCTGCCATAACACGCAATGGGGAAAGTCAGGCGGTGGTGGTGGGATTTGAACACACGTCCGTTTTCTATAAGCTACCTCATCTAATGTGATTAATTCAGTGCTCTCATAACCTATAAATGACCGTAATAAACTCAATCAGTTACACCGCGTTCTCAATGTATCTAAGTTTTTATCTCGATTGTGGAAAGTTCGGTAGCCTCGGTGGGATTCGGGTCAGTTATACCATTCTGAAATGTTGCTATATAAGGCTGACTGTAAAACGTCTGAGAGATCGTCTGTTTGAGTTCTATCACTACCGGCCGAATTCTTCTTATATATACATCAGCAGCTTCCGTTCAGAAAATTGGTAGGCAGTCCGCTTTAGGAATTGATAAAACCCAGCACAAAAAGAAGGAAAATGCGTCTCGTTGATTTACCAGAGTTGTTCAAACGCTGTAAGTTAAAAGCAACTTCAGTCGCCAGGACATTTGCCTCTGCATTTAAAGGCGAGAGATTCATGTGATTGAAAGTTAACTGCGAGTTACAATTAAGCGCCGTGCTTGTTCAACTGAAGTAGAATTTGATGCAGCTGGCTTTGCAGATATTTGACTTTTTGCCCTTTTATATTTAAACACCACACAACGAACATGCACAAAGAACGAATTTATCGAATTAGGCTCATAGCTCTGCATCTGGTGTTACGCAACATAGTTCAATGGTACAAGATGAAACATTGAATTGAACTCGGAATTTCAAAATGCCTGCGGCAGTCTAGCTTTCAATGAAATTAAATTATTGCCTAGGAACTCCTAGGTTTGAACCACTTTACTGCAGTTTATTTTTCTTTTTGCCTCAGTTTCATAAGTTAGTCTCTTTATTGACCGCTTTCCTTCTTTGAAAAGTGATTGTACAGTTATGTCTTCAATGAAATGAGATGTAAATAAATTTTTTCTATCAGAAACACCATTTACTTTCAGTGGGGAAAAGCTCAGATCTTATGTAAGAATAACGTCTGTTCACCCAGTTCATAAATCTACATCAAATGGCTAAATTGAGTGAATTCAAAAGGCTTGTTTGCATTTGGAGCGTACGCCTTCCAAAGAACAGTTTACCGGCAAAATTGTGTCCATAGGTGAGATATAAGGTTCATGTAAAAACAACGGTGTCCAAACGGATTACTGACAAACATTGAGGTACTCAGACGCTGGATGCGCCGGTCACAAATCTTTCTTAATTTTGTCCCTTTTCGTTGTCGATGGGTGCAACTTTATTAATCGGAAAACAGGTCTAAATTGCTAGTTGGCACGTTCAAGGGATCTGAAAATTGAAGTCGGTCTGGTGTTTCATTAGATTAACCGTTGAAGAATAAATTAGATGTGAATGAATCCTTTGATGATTTTGCTTGAATTACATTATCACAACCTTTTCGTATAAGGTGTGCGATGAACCAAAAGAATATCTTGTTATCCCAGTTTCCTACATTTTTCTATTTTATGTGTTCCACCTTCTTCCCACTTAGCTTTGTATTTGAACCCACCTGCCCCATGTTATTGTTGCATGGTGATTGTGAAAAGTTCAGTAGCCTCGATGGGATTCGAAGCCATGCATGGACCCCACATACGCTTTGTATACGCACGCTCTACCAGTTGAGCTACGAGGCCACATTTCAACTCCGCCAAACACCCATTTGCACAATCGATATATATATATATATATATATAATGTGAATACGGCTGAGAAATAAGGTCTACTTG